GGTGGGATACAACATTCAAAGTAGATGTTTTTATTAAGTGAAACTTGGGTTATCTATGGCAAAGGGGTAGGAAATGTCTCCTTCATGGCAAAAAATAAATCGAGGAAAAGATTTAAGATTCCTAATGAGTTTGACATAAAGAACATAGAATAAAAAAGTTTTTATGTTAATTTGATAGCATCACTGATTGTACTAGGTTCTGCACAGATAGAGAAGCCTTGGGGGCACTGGCTCATCCCAGATTGTTTTGTTGTCTTTGCAGATGTCTCTCCAGTTGTAGCAGGGCTCATTGGTGCTACTGTCCTTGTAGTTTCTGTCTCAGTAACGGTATTTGTTTGGACATGCTGCCACCAACAAGCAGAAAAAAAGCACAAAAACCCTCCTTACAAATTCATTCATATGCTGAAAGGCATCAGTATCTACCCGGAGACCTTGAGTAACAAGAAGAAAATTAACCGTATCCGGAGAGACAAGAATGGCACTGCCAAGGATACTGGAAAAGGAAACCTCTTGGTGGATGCTGCTGAGGCTGGCTTACTGGGCTCTGAGAAGACCCCAGATGGACTTAATGCAACCACCTGTGTTGATCAGCTCCCAATAAAAATGGATTATGGAGATGAACTAAGTCCAGATCAAAGCCTCACCCCGGGTGGGAGTAAAACCTCCTCCCCATCTTCCCCAGAGGAAGATGTCCTGCTGGGAGAACTGACTTTCTCAGTGGACTACAACTTTCCCAAAAAAGCACTGGTGGTGACCATTCAAGAAGCCCATGGGCTGCCCATGATGGATGAGCATACACAGAGCTCTGATCCCTATATAAAGATGACAATTCTTCCAGACAAAAGGCACCGAGTCAAGACTCGTGTGCTTCGCAAGACCTTGGACCCTGTCTTTGACGAGACTTTCACCTTTTATGGGATCCCCTACAGCCAGCTCCAGGATTTGGTGCTCCACTTCCTGGTGTTGAGCTTTGATCGTTTCTCACGAGATGATGTGATTGGAGAAGTCATGGTGCCGCTTGCTGGGGTAGATCCAAGCACTGGAAAGGTCCAGCTCACTAGGGAGATCATCAAAAGGAACATACAAGTAAGTGACTTCTTTTAGTTTGGAGAGATGCTTTGTGCTGTATGTTTGACCCCTTGTAATGTGATCCCCAATTAGGCTGTTCTTTTGTTGGGGAGGACTCGGTGTGTCTAAGAATGAGACTGTGACCCTGACTTGCATGCATAGCTTTTACTTGCACTAGTCTCACTCAGCGAAGCTGATGAGAACACTTGTGTAAGAACAGCTGTCAGGATTGGACTTCATATTTTTGTGTAATTTGGCTGAAGTCCAAAGTCATGTGTTTGTCATCTGACATTGTGCTCAATAATCAAATTTCCCATTTAATCTGTACAGTGCTTCACACACTTAGGTGTTACGGTTACAGAAGTAATTTCCAGCACGTTACTAACAGTGAAGCATGGAGGACAGCAGCCTAGAGGAAGATTTTAGGATGCCTTAAGTGCTGGTTGTTCTAGTAACTTGCTGTAGATTCTCATTGTCCTCTGCTTTGGGTTTAAAGTTTTATTTTTCCTTTGTTTAATATCCATCAGGCAAACTTAAAAATAAATTATACTTGAGTAATTAACCTTTGACATAGATTGATTTGTTGTTTTAGTATAACGTTTTTAAAGTGAAAATAGTTTAGTGCTGACTTCATCTTAAATTGCAAATTTAATGCACTAGGGACAGAAATTTCAGAGTGGGTTTGCTTGAGCAATGCCTCTTCATGAAATCATAGGTGCTCGGCCTGTCTGAAATCAGTTTGGAGGTATCTAGAACTAGTACTGCAAATAATATTTCAGCTAAATAAACTGCTGATAAAACACGTAGCTGTTTTTTGTTGTTGTTGTTGTAAATTATATCCTGAAAATCAGTTTGTTATTCCTGTGGTGAGATTTTTTTTTTACTTTGCCAAAATTTCTAGTTTCTCTCAAAACAAAAACCAAAGCTAAGCACTCAATAGCTTCTCAGTAAATCCTCCAGCTGGAGACTTGGAATATGCCATACTGACCCACTGAAACATTACAGATTTGACAGAAAGTTTCTTATTTAGTTTTTGGGAAAGGGGAATTTGTGCTAACTGGAGGTCTCCATTCTGGGAGAGGCAGAAAGTAAGGCAGTATGATGATGTGGATGGCTGTCTATAAAAGCTTGTGTCCCTCCAAACTAGTCGGTCTTCAAGGTACCACCTTGGCATGCCTCCTGCCTGAATTCAGAATAACATGGTTGGTTGCCCTCCTCTCTGATTCTGAAAAGCAATTAATTTAGGCCACTGTCTCTTTCACTGGGAAGGACTTAATGCAGCTGTCTGACTGGGTGAGGTGATGTGTGACCATCTCTAGGGCAAATGTGCCTGCTGTTGATATGAAAAAAACAGACTGGCTGTGACAAGCTAAACAGTAGGGATGCCAGGCAGTTAGTAATGTATAGCTGTGCTTCTATAGTTTTGCAGTTCTCTGTGCTTTGGTAATGGAAGATTGATCTGTGTAATCACCAAATGATAATTTTTCAATATCCAGTGAACATACATGGCTGCTAGATGGTGAAAGATGAGGGGGAAAGATCTTCACCTGTACCTTAATTCTTCTTTACTGGCTTTGGGCAGCTCAAAAGGACATTTAAAATACCCATTTTTGCTGAACTTCTGAAGACCCTTCAGAGAAGATGCAACCAGCACGACAGAGGTTCTGCAAAGTGCTGTGGTCCATGGAGTGGCTCTGGGAGGTGACCCCAGTTCAGAGACAGCCTCAGAGCTATTTAAGTTGTATCAGTAGAGGTGCACAAGACTGCTGTTGGTTGCTCAGGGGATGATCTCACCAGAGCTGTAAGCAAGTCGTACCTCTGTGCTAACACTGCTAGATCTATCTACAGCCTTGGCTAGTATTGATCATGAGATGGTGCTGACTCATCTGGTACTTGGCAGAGGCAGGCATTCTCTTACAGATGGATGTCTTTATTCTTTTGGAGATGTTCCAGAGAGCCATAATGGGTAGTTGCACACTTCCCCAAGGGCTGCCTTCTTTCAGGGCTCCATCGTCACCATTCTTATTCAACATGTTGAAGCCCTGGAGGAGACTGAGATGGATACACTGTGCCCTTTTTACACTTTTCCACTAGGTCCTCTCAGTGCTGTTTGTCAATATTGTAATGTCTGGTTGCAAAAGGGCCCAGAATGAAAACCAGCAAGTAGAAACAATTTTAATTTTTACTTCAACTTGCTAACTTTGGGACTGCCCAAGAGCTCCCACTGACAGTATGTGGCAACTCAGCCTTTAGAAAAGGCATCCTGCCGGTGCACATTAGACAAGAGCTCCAAGCTCTGCATCGGCTGCCATTTTGCATCTGGATGCAGTAAAAGGATTTGGTCGTTATATAGAAAAGCAGTTTAGGACTTGGAATCATCCACTTTGCAGGAGATACTTCTTCTTCCTTTATCCTGCCATGACAGCTTGTTTATCAGAGATGTTTTGGCTTTATCATCAGGTTTGGGATTTTCCACTGCCCCTACCCTCTCCACTGCCTAATGGGATGGGGTTATTTTAAAGCGTGCCTGCTGATGATGGTCCAAGATATGCCATTGTGTCAGCCATCCAAAGCTGGAGTGCAGTAATGTTCCAGCATAATCTTGCACTTTCACATACTTGTACCATTGGATGGGCAGACAAGCTACACCTTCCTGACCCCTTGGTATTGCCAGAACAACACAGAGGACTCGCATGGTGTAACACACTTGGGCCCACAGCACAGTGCTTTGTTGACTACTGGGTACTGTATGCTGAAATCTAATCCTGAGGGAGCAGCTAGACCCTGACTCTTACTGCTTTTAGAGTGTAAGACAAAATGTATCACTTGGTGCAACTTGTCTCTCAATGGTGAAAAGGCCTTACCCCTGGGAATTAGTATGTTGGATGGCCAGGGGTGGATAGCAAGGTGGGGAGCAGTCATGCACCTGACATCCCCACGCCCACTTTGATTCCTGCTCCACCCAAAGTTTAAAACCAGCTTCCTCGGAAGGGCAGTGGCATTTCTATTCGGGCAGCACTGAGGGAGTCATGACTAAACTCTTCACTTCACAGCTATTAACAATTCTCTCTCCTTTTTAATAGTCTGTACAGTCCACTTTTCAAACAATTTTTTTTCTTCTACAGCCTTGCTGTCTGTTAGTTATTCCTGGTAATGTCTCTCTCACAGCTCTGCAAACTGTTTTTAGCTCTAGCTAGAAACCTTAACTCAGGTGTGGTAATATTGGCTCATGTGTAGAAATGATGACACGGAAGTATTTGAGACAGTCAAGTTGCTCAGGAAGACTAGATTATTTTGATTAATCTGAATCAGATGTACATTTAACTATAATGACTATAGTACTAGCAAAACAATATCTTTTTACTATTGTTGCCTAGGTTGGGTTTTTCTAAACTCTCTATATATAATCTAGTACGTGAGTGCACATTCCAATAAAGTTATATTTGTTTTTGCTTTGATCTTAAACTGAATAATGTAGCACTAAGGCCCCTACCTTATTAATAAAGCTGCTTGTTTCTCTGTAACTGGAGGAAAAAAAGTGTTGTGCTCTATCTGACCATGTACTGTACCATCTGTACCCCTTCTGCTCAAAACCCTCGCTCTGCCCATGTGGATCATCACCTTTTTTGGACTGTGACTTCTTAAAAACAATGGTGGCTGCTTTAGGCAGTACAAGCATCGTTTCTTAATGAGGGGAATGTTAAATTCAGTCCTGTAAAATGGTATTTTTTCCACAGATACTGCAGCAATGGGCAACAGAGAATGGTGTATAATAAATACATGTGGTAAATGGAAGACAGAAACTAGGCCAAGAATTGGGGTCAGCAGACTAACTGCAGATTCTCCTCAAAGGCAGCCTTGGGAAACAGCCAGTTAAAACCCTTTTATAAGTGATACGTAGAGTGGCAGCATTATAAGATGCAGAACTCAGCATCTTGCTTCCAATTTTATGTGCACGACTTTTAAAAATAAATTCCTTGAAGGGACTGTGAAACTCAGTGAGCTTGTTAGGAGGAAAAATTGCAGAATAGTCTTGAGCGATTGATTTCTCCCCATATTTTACAGGTTAAAAGACAGACATGCAAATTCAAGCACCTGGGTTTACTCCTGATAGCTCTGTGAGCAAACTGACATGCTCAAGTAATATGTTCACGAGCACAATGAGAAGGTGGAGCTTACATTCAAATTCTCATTTTCCTTTAATGGTTGGTTTATTTTGGCTGCTGAGAGCGCTCAGTCAGTAGGACACGGGATTCTCCTCTTCATCGCCTGCTCTCGGCTGTTGTAGATTGTTGCTGTGTTCTATTAAACAGCTGTTGCTTTCTCGCCTTAGAAAGAGCTGCATTGTATTTCTAGGGTTAAACTGTGTGCCAGCTGGAAACATGGTCCTTGGAAGCCTTCTTAAGGAATTGTATAGAAATTATAGAACAAGCACCTCCATCATCTTGTTAGTGGTTTAGATGATTCAGCTGTCAGTTGTGCGGTGGCTTTTCTCATGGCTCTTCCACTGTTTCCAGTCCAGACAGGTTGCTGCTGTAACTGTTCCTGTCGGTCCAGCCTTGTTACTGTTCCCTCACAAACAGTCCTTCAGATGGAGTTAACATCTTATGACAGAAATGACTTGCTAGGATACATACTGGACTCATTAAATCTAACTGAAAGAATGGTTAACAAAAGAATGAAACAGACCTGGTAATTGTAGGTACTTCATCTCAAAGAGTTGCCCTAGACTCCCTGAAAAGAAAAACCTTTCTCTGTATTGTTTTTGTGTATGTAGCTCCCTAGTAACCACTGCAACTCTGCTTGTTCCCAGCTTTATCTTGCTGCTGTTCAGAGAGAAGTAGAGTGCTGTTATTCAGGCTGGAAGTTCAAGATTGTAAAATCTAGGGCATTCTGCAGTGAGTAAAAAAGGCATAAGCCCTTCACAGCCTAGGAGGGTATTCACTGAATATCCATAGATTGTCTAACCCTTGGCAAGACTGGTTTATTTCCACCTTTATTATTTCCTTCCCCAGTAGCTTGTCCTTTTATGCAGATCCAGAAGGATAGTGCCAAGAAGCTGTTGAATAAGACTCTGCTGCAATCAAAGGGAACGCCTGTTCCCTTCACATTCTCCCCACGCTGACCTGAGAACATTTTTGAATTGTGGTAAAACAGGTTACTGAATCAGAGCTTCTCAATGCTGCTGCTTTTTATTCACTGATTTTTTTGGAGGAGTTTCTACATTCATATCAGCAATCATGGACGCTGGGATAGCATCCATCACCCCCCCCACCAGACAGAGACTCTTTATGGCTTTATCTAATTGGTTTCATTGGTTTGTGTTTTGTTAATGTAATTCATTAACAACCAGGAATGACTGATCAGCATTGCTCAAGTTATCCTTTCATACATATAGTCTAAATTATTAGATACCAGAGTGATAATTGTGCTTAGGCATCACAAATAAAAAAACTCAATCTAAATAAAACGTGTCGGCCCACTTGCCTAGGCAAGGATACATGTAGGCAACATAACTAATCATCAAATGGCATTTAATTTCAATGACAGCTCCACACTTCTGAAGAGGTGTATAATACTACAAATGTCAAAGCAGTTGTGACTGAAGCCTTCTTATCAATATAACACAAAATATGGAGTATGACATGAAGAGTTTATTGAATTTTCAGAGTAAAGACATCTGTAAAGCTGCAGGCCCCAAAAGATACTCCAAACTCTTTCTGTAAGAAAAGGTATAATGTCCTCCTTACCAGGTTCACAACATTTGTAACTGTTTCCAACTAACAGAAACAATGACATTCTCTTATGAAGGTTGCATTTATTGTCGATCCCCTCAAAAAAAGAAAAATTCAGCATATGGCCCTTCCTGCACCGTTTTCCTCCTTGATGGGGATGGCAAAAACTTTGCTAACAGTCTGGCCTTGTGCTGCCTGCCTACAATTGCATGCACAGATCAATCTAGTTTTAAGTATCATCAGGTAGTGGGTAGCAACATAAGGAGACTATTAAATAGTATTCACTTATTTCAGTTGCACAAAAGCATACTCATCCTAAGCCTTAATTCCAAAAGGGCATTTCGTAGTTTCTCCTGAGATTTTTTTTTTTAAATCTGTAACCCTAGAAGCTTTCCTTTGTGGTTCTTATTTCTGAGCCCTTGAAGAGGCTACCCTCTGTCCCTTTTCTTACCCATCTTAAAACCCTGAGCATGATCTTTTGGTCTACTGAGATTCAAAATTAGCAGCTATAATATTTCCCTCCTTGCTAGGAACCTGCTAAGATATCACAACTTAACTGACAGTTTGCAAATGGGTTCTTACATTTGCACTGAAGGGTTGAATGCATCACTTGACAGGAACCAGCCCTCAAAACTCCATTCTTTAGGTATCTCTCTGATACAATTTTGCTGATAGCTGTTTCATACCCATTGATAGTAAACCAATTTCCAATGATAGTAAATAAGCAAAATTGATATATAACAGGGGTCTTGAACATGTAGCCCTGATCCAACTTGTGGGGCTTCTCATGGGCTGGACTAACCATGGCTGCTGGATCCTTGTAAGTGGCAGCATTAATTGCTGGCTGTTTTGGTACAGCTCTGGAGCACAGGGAGTTATTGCTGCTTGCCTCCTTTCCCCACCATCCTTGCCTGCCTTTAAAAACTGCCATTAACTCCCCGGGTTCCAGAGCTGTGCTGAAACACCGACTCCAGCAGCCTCAGGGATTAATGCTGCTGCTGCCTCTCTCCTGCCCCACAGCCCATACCAGGGCCTGTGAGGCCCAACAAGTTTGAAACCCCGATTTATAGCATCTGGAAGTCCAAATAAACCATTTGTTAATCTTACTATTGCAAAGACACCAGAACATTTTTTCCAACATATTTCACTTGTTCAGACTCTCTCAACTTTGTCAACTAGACTGGCATAAAACTTTCAGAAGTACTAATGTTTCTTAGTCTCAGGACCTTGGGTCTCATTGAAAGTTAATGGATTCAAGCTCCTAAAAGTGTCTTGAGACTCCCAGATTCCTCAGGCCATGTAAACATCTACTGATTTCACTAGGAGTTTTATGGCTACGTTCCTGGGAGTATCTGGGCCTTGAGTGTCTTACGGCCTCTTTAGGCACCTAAGTACTGAGTTTAGGTTCTTGGAGCTGCTTGGATGCTACCCGTGCCTGGAGGTACCTAAACTCAGTTTTCACTGATAAACTACCCTAGGTATTTAAATGTCTGTATCAGGGCATGCCATAGAATCATAGGACTGGGAAGGACCTCAAGGGTCACCTAGTTCAACCCCTGCACAGGTGCATGATTCAGTATTCCTAAACCATGCCCAAAGGCCTCTTGGGACTCTTCTTAAAAATCATCAGTGGATTCCACAAGTTCCCCAGGTGCTTGTTCTGTTGTCCTATAGTTCTTACGGTTAGGAAGTGTTTTCCTGAGATTTAAGCTAAATCGGCTTTGCTGCAGTTTAAAGCCATCACCTTGTGTCCTCTGTAGCAAAGGAGAACAGTTGTTCTCCCTCTTCCTTATTTACAGAAGTTTAGGGTTGGAAGGGACCTTGTGAAATCATCAAGTCTAGCCCCCCTGTTCTGGGTAGGAAAGGCTGCTGGGGTCAAATAACCCCAGCAAGGTGTGTGTCCAGTCTCCTGTTGAATATCTCCAGGGTAGGTGCCTGCACCACCCCCGCTGGGAGTCTGTTCCAGAGTCTGGACACACAAACAGTGAAGAAGTTTTTCCTTATATCCAAAATATCCTTTTCTCCAGCTTAAACATGTCTAGTTATCTCAGCCTTTCCTTGTGCAGCCTGCATTCCAACCCCTTTATCACCTTTGTGGCTCAGATCTAGTGATCACACATGGTAAAAAAGTTGTATTAACTCCCAGGAAGACTGACTTTTTCTCCGAATCAATGAGCTGACAAAAATAGTTAGGATTTTATTCATGTAGATTTTCCAGTTGATAATTATAGTGGACTGTATTGAAATGTACTTGTCCCTAAAGAAATGCCTGTAGGTCCTGCCCTGGAGAATTGTCTCTGGTATAAATTTAAGACATTATATTACCTGCATCTCTTGGGCCTGTTGTATCTCTGAGCTTGGAGGCAGTGTTCCTGATCCTTTTTCTACAGCACGCCATGGTAGAGGTTCAGAATGATGTAAAAGGCTCTGCTAGTGGGAGTTGCGTCTTACCTTAAGTAGAAATATCAGCATTAGGAAATTAGCATTTAGCAACAGTGTCAATCTAGGTCAACTAAGAAGGGAGCCATGACTTCCTCACAGCTGCTTATGACCCTCAGGTTGAGAATCCCTAGTTTTATAAATTATTTCTGCTTCTCTTTCACAGAAGTGCATTAGCAGAGGAGAGCTGCAAGTCTCACTGTCTTACCAGCCTGTTGCACAGAGAATGACTGTTGTGGTGCTGAAAGCTAGACATTTGCCGAAGATGGATATCACCGGTCTCTCAGGTAGAAGCTATTTACTTCAGCCTACAACTGGTCTGTTGCACTCCACTTGATGCCATTTTTCTTTTTCCCTGTAAACAAAGCAAATGCTGTTTGGTGGGGTCATAACTAACTTGCAGTTATTGATCAGTTGCTCAATGATTAGTTGCAACTCCTCAACTACATCTGAAGTGTTTGCTCTTCTATTTAATGCCTCCAAGGCAATGCCTAAAAATTAAAATCTACCCTACATGGGCAACACAGAAAGCAACTTGTGGCATGCACAAGAGAGAACCGATTGCTGTGGCAAAGGACAAGACAAGGGTTGAGAGGAAAAGACAAAAAGCTTCAATATGGTTTATATACTAGTGAGAGTAAGATGGGGATGAAAAATTCTCTGTAGAGTTTGAAATTTTTTTTTAAAGCAATTTAAAGAGCAGCTTCTGATTCTATCACCTCCAATCTCAGCATTTTCTTTGTACTATATCTTCCTGTTCCCCTTCCTTGTTACCCTCCTTCCTGAATATGCTGGACTGACAAATGTGACAACATTAGGAAGTGAAAGTAGCAAATGCATGAGTCAGGTTATGTGACAGGACCATATCATTTCAACAGCAGTAAAAATCAATGTGTTTCTGTGAGATCATAGGGGTATGCAGGTATAGGTAGTACATGGCTGTCAGGATAGCTGTTGAGAATTGGAGAAGTTGTAGGGAGGCTCAGTAGCTTTTCTTGTCAGTATAATCGGTCCTTCCTGCCCAGAGCAGCACTGCTCCTCACAAATTGCTGCCATTGCCACCCACAGCTACCTCAAATCCATACTGTAAGATGAAGTAAGTCTTCATTAGACAATGCTCAATATTATTTCTAGTTTTAGCTGGATAGTATTTTGATGGGACATGTGACACTTTACAGGGCTGCTGTTCAGCCTTCAGTCCTGCCCAGCCACAGCCCCTCATTTCCCAAGCATTTTAAGATCCAGTGTCGTCCTCTTTCACCACTGGAAAGTTTTACTGTTTTTATGGATTTTCTCTGCTTTTCTTCTCTTAGGAAGGATGTAACCTGTGTGGTAGGCCAGTAGGGGGCGCTCCTGTGCTAAGCCGCCCACCTCATTGCACCCAACCAAAAATCACGATTCAGGTGCCTCCCCTGGGGTGCCTACATCTGGCCAACCCCTTCCTGGAGTGCATCCGCAAGCCTGGGGTAACCGCTGCCACCACCTGGGCCCTGCTCTTTGTTAGGACTCTGTGCCACCTGAGGTACACAGATTCTGTAGATCTTGGGGGTGCTTAGCCCACCGTGGTATTTTGGGCTGCTTCCTTTAGCCCAATGCATTCGCAGGTAGCCTCCTGTGTGGGAGGAAAGTAAAAAGCCACATCCACCTTAGCCAGCCAAGCAAAAGGGCTATAAAGGCTAGTCGCACCCTCATAAGCATTTATAGCAAGGTGTGCTATAACAGATAGCTTTATTGATCCAAGATGGAGAGAGTGAAGAGGGAATACAAAACAATAGCAACTTGAAAGAAAACCTGCTTGAGCAAAACAGAGTGGGCTTGTGTGCATCTAGTTCACTTAATCCTAAATTACTAGCTAAATTTCAGGTAAGTTACTTGCATGTTCCTCCAGAGACTGATGGAGATTGTGGGGCTTTTTGCTTCTTTCAGCATCCCCCCTCCCAAAAAAAAGTCTACCCCTCCCAAGAGGGAGTGACCCATTTTATTAGTTTTTTGACCTCATCACTAAGTTCTAACCAAAACCCAGTATCCTCAGAACATGACTGATACAGGCCAGTTAGTTTGAAAAACATCAGCAACTTGCTGGTGGAGTGACCAGTGCCTCTCAGGTATTTGGGTGGGAAGTTGAAACAAAGGAGAAGCAAGTCCCCCCTCCCAATGGAATTGCCTAGGCCAGGGGTTGTCAACTGGGGGTATGCATACCCCTGGGGGTACTAGAGAAGGCCCTAGGAGGTACGCATGGGTGGATGGGGATGGAGCACCACCATGCACTATCCCACAAACGCAGGGGGTGGGGAAAGCTTGCACATGGTGGTTGTCACCGCTCTGCATCCAGCTGTGTGCTACCCCTGCCCCCACTCCGGGGGGGTACACTGCTCTGCATCCAGCCACCGGGGGGGTACAATGATGCAAAAAGGTTGAAAACCCTTGACCTAGGTGACCAGGTGGATTCCACAGCCAGAGTTTGAAACTGAGGTGGGGTGGGCAGACTGAGTAGGGAGGCCATCAAAAAGGGGGATTTTTCCACAACCTAATCCTAGCTTTCTTGAAGCCTGATATTTTACCTTGGCCCAAAACTTATAAAAAAACAAATCTTACTGTCTGAAATTTCTTGCATGCATCTCTATCTATGGGATAGTTTATTTGAGCAATCATTACTTTACTTCAAAACCTTCATCTGCAGTTTTACAAGGCTCAGTTCTTTCCCTCATATTATATGTTATCTATATCAGTGGTTCCCAACCTTTTTTGTGCCATGGACCTGCACAGGAGCAGTGGAGCCGTCTGCCTCCCTCCTGGGGCCTACCCTGACCCCCAGCTTTAACCCAGCACATCACTGCCAGCAACAGAAGCTGTTCTCCCAGGTTGACCAACGGGGAGCCAAGCAGGGGCTCGTGCCATGACCTGGCAGTGAACACTTTGTGGCCCAGTACTGGGCCACAGCCCAGTGGTTGGGAACCTCTGATCTATATGAAACAACATGAGCCATAATTCCAAATAGGTGGATGACACCCAATTCCATCTCTCCAAAGACAACTGGAAATAAGGACCATTGCCCAGCTATCTTAAAGCCCACATGGAACCAGCACCTATAGATGAAGAGCAAGACTGAGCTGAGGCTCGCAGGTACAGCCAAATTTTTTGAGGAATTTGCTTCCTCTTTGGTGTCCCCCATTATAAGGACATCTGGCCTCAAATTTTAGGTTGGTCTGCAGCTCTAGGGTGTTTGGGCTAAAGTAGTTACTGTGGTAAAATTACTCACTTCTATCAAGGACTGGCCACAGTACTGTACTTTCTCCTATTAGTGTCCTCATTATCATGAGCTATTTGGTACTGCTGGCATTAATTACTGCAGTTCACACTTAGGAGTGAAGCTATACCCTGGAAAGAGTTCTTATTGACACATACTGCAGCAGTGAACCTGCTGGGCACCACAGACTGATATAAATACATCACTGCTGTGCATTTCTCTGAACTGGGGCTTCATTGACTATAGAGCCAAGTTCAAAGGCTTTTTTTGATATTTAAGGTCCTCTACTTTGTTGGACTCAATACCATCTTTCCATCTGCAACCAGGGATT